TTCAGTTTGAATATGCTTTTTTTCCTCAAAACCAATGGCATCAAAATCTTTGACATTTCCACACATTCTACAACCATTACCCAAGAAAATAAATAAATTCAGGTTCAGATTTTTGACATCTTAGTCAGATACTTTATTGTGTATACTAGTATATCATGTGTTTCTAAGTTAAAGACTAATGTTGAAAAGATGCTAGAATTTTTGATCGACATCTTTGTAATTTTTGAAGATTAAGTATACAGTCTGTCAAAAATTCTGTCGGAATTCCCATGGGTATCAATTTCGCCACGTTTTTAGCAGGCCTATTCTTTGCAGAAGAATATGGAGATAACAAACAGTTTCCATATAAAAGTCCATAAAATAATACAAAATAGGAGCAGAGCAAACACGGACATCCGAAACATCAGAGGTGGGATCAGGTGCCATAGAGGAGTGAGCATCCCCTTCTGAGCGGTCAAACCCGCCGTGTGCTCCTTGTCATGATCGGGAAATAAAGGAAAGATCCGTTGTCAATTCAGTGTATAAATAATGTACTTACAATTAGTATGAAATACATCAGTAAACATTTCACTCAATGATAAATTGTATTTGCTGATAACGTCTTTGTATCGACCATAGAACTTATAAAATGATGACTTTAAACGAGACTGCTGATATTCTTGTTTCATCAAACTGCTTGTCAATAATTTACCTCTTTTTAGACATTGTTCATACGTAGAGCATGCTCTTGCGTATCGAATCAACTGAGAAATATACACTCCTTATGCAGGTGATGGAGGTATATTGCTGCATATGTAATGGAAGTTGACGATAGAAAAGTTAAAATCATCATATTTATTATATACCTCGTATCGCCGTAGGAATGGAAATTACCATTGATAATTGACAATACGTCTTCGAGTTGAAGGCCACAGCAAGTGCTTTCTTTTTTTTACGAATAAGATTTTGCACAAAATCTGCTTCATATGAATATAAAAATAGGTCTGCTAATAACGGAGCGCAATTGGTACCCATGGGAGTTCCAGTAGATTGTTGTAATACCTGGTCTCCAAAAAGCACATAGATATTGTCAATCAGAAACTCAAGCATCTTTTTGATGTCAACTTCAGAGTACTTGTGTTTGCAATCAGAGTGTGTTTTAACAAAATAATTTTGCAAATGACCATGCAATGACCAGGTAAGTAAATTTACGAGTTCCATTTTTATTTAAAAAGCAGCTGTCAATGAGATCAAAAAGCCTGGACTTTAATTTATCACTGGGAATCGTTGTGTATAAAGTTGAGAAGTCGTTTTTAAGCTGTTGATTTTGGTAAAATTTTGTGATTTCAAATTGTTCAAAAGTTTATTGGAATTTTTGAGTATCCTCGTTTGATTCACACCACTTCTTGAATATATTGTTGCACAGTACTCTTGAAGTTTTTCCTTCACTACTGTCAATATCTTAGTGAGGAGTAACGAAAGAGGCTTGGTTGAACATTTACTGGAACCCGCAATGTTTTTTTTTGGTTGTAAGGATTTTTATGAAGTTTCGGAATATATAAAGGGTAGTTCAAATTCATTTTGGCTCTGTGGAATATTAAAAATATTCAAAACTGACATATGATTTTGAAGAATTTCTTCCTTAGAGAGGGAAGTATGAGTATAAGTAGGATTACCACTTATAGAATTAAATCCAAGTTCTTCTACAATACAATGTATATAATGAGCCTTACAAACGAAGACAATGTTGGTACCTGCTTTGTCGGCAGGGACCAGCACGTAATGATCATGTAATCAACTTTAACAGGGAAACATGATTTTTAACACTATAAAACCCATATCTGTTGTTCAGAAATGTTTTTTTTCTACTAGCAAAAAGTATCCAAATATGAATGTTTCACACTATGATTTTTTATAATATAAGTTCACACAAACATACTTCTTTTTATGTAGATGTTTGTGAAATAATTGTGCACTATATGATATATCTTTGTGTGAACTTATATACTAATGCCATTTGAGTTTTTAATATTTATTTTCAATCCTCCATTAGATATATCCATATGAATTCGAAATTAAAAAATCATAGTGGTTGACATATTGATATCATACCCGGTATTTGGATACTTTTTACTAGAAGAAAACATAATTTCTAATCAACAGATATAGGTTTTATTTCTAATCAACAGATATAGTTTTATAGTGTTAAAAATTATGTTTCCCTGTCTAAATTGAACGTCTGAAATAGAAAGTTAAGTATTGTTGAGAGTTTCCAAAAAAAAATCATTAAAGCATTGTTTACAGGAAATATTTTCTCGATAAAACAGAAGAGCAGGACAATCTGATGAGCCACATGCAAATTGCAGTCAGAGATATTGGTACAAACTTTATCAATTTAGTTATCTCTTGTGTTGCACATGTTTAAGGGTAAGTTTTTAATATTATATATTCTGTAAGTCGTTTTTAATACTATTTAAAAGGGTTAAAATATCAATAAATTTTAAGGCATATAATCTTTTGAGTTTTAGAAGTTTGAATTTAATTACATTGTAGATTTTTTATTTCCTAAATAAACATTGAACTCATTTGCACGCATTAGATTTAGGAAGCCATCATGTATGATAAAGTTATTAGAATGCTGCAGAATTTATTGTTAAAAATTCCAGAAGTTACAATGAAAATACTGTACTCTCTAATCTCAACTTCTTGATTGATATTTTTTTTATTTATCGCTAAAATATTTTCCTACTCAAGTGTTTGTTCTATCATTAAATTTAACTAAACATGTACCGGTACGCGATCCTCAAATTAACCATGTACGTATTTTTTTCGCCCGAATTTATTCGGGGCGTATATTGTTTTTGTCCTGTCTGTCTGTTTGTCTGTTTATCTGTTTGTCTGATTGTCTGTTTGTCTGTCTGTTGTCAACACCTTCGCCATAACTTTTGAACCGTGAGAGATAGAGACTTCATATTTGGTATGCATACTCCACTAATTACGCACTTCCAAATGACACCAAGGTCAATGATCTTGTGACTTTGACTGTGACCTATATGCTAAAAATAACTTATTCGAGCTTTCGCCATAACTTTTTAAAACAAGAGATACAGACTTTATATTTGGTATGCATACTTCACTAATTAAGTGCTTTCAAATGACACCAAGGACAATGACCTTGTGACCTTGACTGTGACCTATTTGCTAAAAATTGCTTTTTAGAACTTTGTTGCCGCCGGGCGCATAGTGTTTCACAAACACATCTTGTTTATATATAAAATTAGAAAAAAAATTTCCTCTGTTCTCTTCTATCTCATTTAAGATCTATTTACAGTTAACATGCGCCTTTTTACTCAAGGTGATCAAATTTTACATATGATTCAGTATAATTTAGTGCAGGTTGGGTGATTATGATAGTAAGATTTGTAAGTAAGCAATTCTTTCTCCTGGTGCAATATTCATGTCTTATCCAGCTAGCTGAAAAATAACTTTCAGTAAATTTACCCCTTATACATTTTCAATCATGTGAACGCAATGGCCAATTTCCAATAGTTTTGTAATTTTAAAATACATGTACCGGTAGTTGATAAAATATAGTATTATCGATTTCATTAAAATATGCTCTTTTTATATTAGAAAGAACCATGACAATCCGTTGTATATATAGTCAAATTAATTTGTCATTTAAACAAAAAATAGTAAAGTTTCCTGGCGCATCGATATCATGGAAGGAACACTGAGATGAAGAACAACTAGAAAGCCCAAAAAGTATTTAAAAATACTTTAACAATTCAGACATCGTACTGATATACATTCAGACAGTGAGTGCATTTGAACACATTGCAAATATTAACATTCACACACCAACAGCAACATTCCCGCGGTCATGAATTAAATTTTCTTTTTGGACAAATATTTTGCATGAGAACCTGGACCATATTTCCGGCATCAGATTAGCAATTGAGGAATTGAGGAACCAACATGACTTTGACTGACAAATCAGCTGAATGAGAATTTCATTATGGGTTACTATGAATACTACAGGAAAAAAGAAAAATCGTATGGCGATCAGAAAGGCACAAAGACTATTTTTCCATCCATTTTGTAAATTCTAAGCACTTTAATATTCTATTATTTTCATGCTCTCAATGACAATCAATTCATTTGTTAAATAAATGGCGGAAGAATGGGTTTCTCAAAGTCATACTGCAAAGCGATTTGCGTCTGTATCAATTCCTTTGTTGTACTATCGGTGAATACAAATGTCAGGTGGATTACCTGACCAAAACACGTGAACACGAGTATAGTTAAGTAAAAATGTTTTGTCCATTTACATGTAAATGCATAAGAGGTGCTGCTCGTTTTCTTTACCCCTGAAGCGCTAGTGTTCTGAACTTGATACAAACTACATTTTATTAAACATATTTTTTTTCTAGTTAATAAAAGATTAAAAACGCCCGTGACATCTTTAAATTTATAGTTTCCAATCTTTGTATTTTGTTCATTAGAACGTTTTTTTTCTTTCAATTTTTCACTCCATTGACATGATCATAGATTGACCTGAACCACGTGTTTGAAGTAAAATGTAGATATGTATTTGGCGTAAGCGTTGCTATTCAACGATTGGCCAGTTGCTCGTGGTAAGATCCTCTGTGCGCATTATTAACAATAGCCATATAAGGCAAACAAATGTTTATCAGTGTAGATGATATTACATATCTATTTTTTTAAGCGTATCGGTCGCCAGTGAGCTCTAATTTTCGCCGTAAATTATGACAAGATTTATTGCTATTTTAACTCCAACCCCCTTAGCCACCCTTTTCTGTTGAAAATCATGAAAGTCTCTCAGAATGGTCGGGAAACACATTTTTCACAGGACATGTTTTCAAAAGAAACAGACTATAGCAATTTCCTGTATCTTATTAATTTTATTTATAAGATCAGTTCTACCCTATAACCTTTGAATAGTTCAACCTAACCACGTGTCTTAAATTTAAATCACAATACAAATAGTAGGGGTGATTATGGTGAATATCTTTATATTTTAACTCTTACTTTCAGATTTTAAAATGGATTTATCATCACTGGTTATTGTTCTGTTAAATGTGTTGGACACAGTAATTGGTATGTAAAAGGTGCATGCTTCATACTAATTTTGTATAAGTGGTTTGACATACAAAACACAGACGACAAATTAGTCTCTGTAAATACTATATGGTTCAGAAATTCTAAAAGGAAACGAGAAAATATCTTTTCTGCTTAATAGATCCTGTAGTGTGAGTCACTAATAATCAAGTAGAGAGACTAATTATTCACTTGTGTTGCCTTGTTCATCAATTACACACATTCATTTAAACACTTATATGAACCAAGATCACTGTATTTTTTATTTGTTCGGAACTAGATGCAAAGTCATGGACAGAAATAATATAAATCACTAACACGAAAAAATCAACTTACCCCTTTATATTATCAAATCTAAATTTTGTATATTAAAAATGTGTTGATATGGAATAATTTTGGACCTCTTTACTCGATCTGCTTTGGTCTACTGAGGTTTAATGCATGCAATATTCAAAATAAAACTAATTCTTTTCACATAAGTAAACCCAAATGAAAAAAAAATCAACAGTCAAAAAGTTAAATTGATAAAAAAAGGGAAAAAATAAAACGGGACTTCGAAGAATAATATTTGGAGCTCTTAAATTTCTTTAAAATTATTAATATATTTTATCAAGAATATGGAGATAACAAACAGTATTCAATATCAAAGTCCATAAAACAATACAAAATAGAAGCAGAACAAACACGGACCTCCGAAACATGAGGTGGGATCAGGTGCCATGGAGGAGTCAGCATCTCCTGCTGACTGTTTACATCCGCCGTGTGCTCCTTGTCATGATCGGGAAATAACGGAAAAATCTGTCGTCAATTCAGTGCATGATAATGGACTAACAATTAGTATGAAAAACGTCAGTCAGTATATGACTCAATAATAAATTGTATTTGCTGACAAGGTCATTGTATCGACCATGGAACTTACGAAATGATGACTTTAAACGAGACTGCTGATATTCTTGTTTCATCAACTTTCTTGTCAATAATTTACCTCGTTTTAGAAATTGTTCATACGTAGAGCATGCTCTTGCGTATCGAATCAACTGAGATATATAATTATACTCCGTATACAGGTGATGAAGGTATATTGCTGCATAAGTAAGGGAAGTTGACGATAGAAAAGTTAAAGTCATCACGTTTATCATATAGCTTGGTTGTTAGATTATCATTAACGTCTTTTCCAAGTAAAATATCCAAGTACGAAACAAATGTGTCAGACTCTTTGGTTTCTTTTATCTCAAGCTCACCAGGATATATCCCATCGACGTAAGAATGGAAATTACCATTGTTAATTGACAATACGTCGTCGATTTATCTAAATGTCGAGTTGAAGGCCATAACAAGTGTTTTCTTCTTTTCACGCATAAGATTTTGCACAAATGATAGTTGTAAAAAGTAAATAAAATGATAATAATAAATTGTTTGAATCAGCAGTATTTCAGCCCAACTATGCTGTATGACTGCATGTAAAAACATAAGAAAGAATAAATTTTATGTTATACACTAGACAAATTTGCTAACGCACCATCTAAGAGAATTGGCATTTTAAAAACCTGTTTATGATCTATTTGATATATAAATTTGTTACTTTAATGAAAAAGAATTCATATTAATGTCAAACCTTATAAATAACTACAATGTTGACTTAAGTGTGACCAAATCATAGAAAAAAACGTGTCTATTCCATTTTCGATGAAAAAAATTCAGTTTTTTCTTTGAATTTGTGTTCTTTACATTTATACTAAATAAAAATTCAGAGAAAAGTTACAACGTATGCGGCGTTTGACACTAGAAGAGCGTGCTAAAACAGAAAGTATGGCGTCTTCACGGGGTTCCATTAGAGAAATCTGTAAAAATTTAAAACTCATGAAAAAGTGTTGCAAATACATTAACAAACATAAAAATGTTTACTTTAGATAACCACAGCATTACGTTAGCAGTATAATTTGAAAATTGTACCACAAAACTAATGTACTAAGGAAACATTCCGTATAAATTAAATTATGACAATTGATGTTTTCCCTATATGAAGTGCAAATACAACTAGAGTCAAAAAGCCCTAGTTTTTAAAGACAGCCATACCAGAAATTTATGTAAATGAAGTGCATGTTTCAATTTTAAATCATCATGATTAGTAATTAACTAATTATATGAACATAACTACCTCCTTGTCCTTTTTCTCTCAGACTTTCTGAGAAAATATTATGTTATTGATTATTTATCGTGTTTGCTGTAGATATCTTTCTTTTTTAAGGGGGATGTACAAACCAATTGGATCTATTCTGGTATGAAATAAGAAATGCCAAGAATGCGCTTAATACTCGTCTAAACTAGCCCAAAGTTACTCAAAATGTTAATGCACTAGTAACCTACTGTTAGAGACCAAAATTAGTAAATAATTAAGTTTATTGTGTCTTAATTAGGAGGAAATTAATTATGGTAGAACTGCGCAGCTACAGCATTCACGAGATGAAAAATGCATTGAAAATGGTGTTTGTTTGATTCATTGATAATATGGCTACAACCATTTGTTTCGCTTTTTTCTTGTCATTATATAAAATTCTTGAAAATTTGATTTTTCATATGTGTGTCTTCCTGAGGCCATGTGTTTATTTCGTCCGCCATTCCTCTGTCACACAGAGTTCGAATAACATTGACTTTTGAATAAATGCGACCATAATAACATCAAGACAAAAAATTACTAAGTTATAACCATTAGGTAATATTACTTACTACTTTTATTTGTTGCATCGCTTCGTCTGATTAATGAAAAAACGCGATTTTAACCCCACTCCAGCAAATCGGGAAAAACTGTTCTGTTCGTGGCTCGAGTTTCCTAGTTAATATTCTTACACTGAGCACGTGGTTGGCAGATGCATATATCTGCTGTGGATAGATGCGTTTATTACCATGATAATATTTAATTTTTCGTGGAAGAAGTCTTGATAATTTGTTGGTTTCTTTAAAACTCAAGAAAAAAGCTATAAAATGCCCTAAACATTTGTGTTTACGTTGGGTCTTTTTTCTGTGGCGATAGAAGTTATTTTGAAATGGGGCACTGCAAGGAGGATGCTTAGCATTTAATTTGAAAATGTTGAACAATATGCAGTGCATGAAAAACAAAGTGCAATTACATGTCTTACATTCGAAAAGTTGGTACATATGTCTCTTTTGTTTAGCAGTTAGATAGAAAAAATAGGCAGTTAAAGTATTTCCTTCAGGCACCTCACGTAAATATCTTGATTGTTTGCAATCACCAACACATTGTATGGAGTAATGTTTGGACATAAAAACGCATCATGTCTCATTATGTTGACTACGTTGTAAGCTCTTCTTTATTGAACATACGAAGCTTGATAAAATATATTGAGTTGTTTCTTTGAAATTTAGAAGCAATCACAATGTTTGCAAACAAAAGTCCATTGCATATGCTATGTCTATCATCGCAAAAAATGAGAGACTACCCCCCCCCCCCTTCCGAAAATCCTATGTTCTAATAGCTTCTATTTTCAAAATAGTGCCAAAGATTAAAAATTTTTGCATTACTAAGTATGTGATGGAACATGTACTAGCCTTCTAATACCACTTGTTATAAAAATATTTGGTTGCCCTCTCTCCAGATCTACTGCCTAGAAATTGCCCGACTCAATTTTATTTTACATCCAATTACAGGATATTTTTTTTTCTTCCGTCAACAAATATGTTTAAATTTTAAAGAATTTTTTTTTCTCACCATAAATACGGACCCAATAATTTTCCCTGAGTTGGGAGGTCCACCAAACGTCATTTCAAAGATGGAATAAAATATTTAATTATGTTGATTTTTTTCTTTACTCTGTAAAATTGTAATTTTGACAAAATGGGCAAATAGAAAAAAAAATTAATTAAATCTCCTAACCCACTCTGAATGATTTTATTCCTTTTCTAATGTTGCTCCGCTGTAATGAAAATTGTAAATGTTTATTTGACAGAGTATACGGGGGGGGGGGGGGGGGGGCAAAAGTAAACGATATCTTAGGTATTTGATAGTTATATTATTGTTGAAATATTCAAGTTTTTTTCAAATGTAAATTGGAGATCTTTGATAGCATATTGCTTAATTAAAAACAAACCCCTTTTCAAACTTGCTTTCACCGGGCAACATAACAAGTATCATATTCAACCATCTGTCTTCCTTCAATAAACGATCTATCCAATCATTGGTTGAATTATTAGGAAGTCATTTGTCTTAATAAACTATGAACAAATTCATATACAGTCAAACCTGTATCAAGAGACCTTCCAACGGAGAAAGGAAAAAAAGTCACAGGTGGTCTCTTAATACAGGTTGCTTATTTTCAAACATAAAATGCTGAAAATATCACACGTGTATGTTGAATGTATTTTACAACACCTTATGTTTAATTCCACTTTTTAAAAGGTACTGCTCAACTCTAAAATGCTTTTACAATTGTCCTGTTAAGAAACAAAAATTTCGTGATTGTACGTTACTTCAAAGGCATTTTTAAGATATACTATAAATATTTTAGTCGTTTGTTGAATGAGTTCCACTGAGACAACCATTTTTCGTCACAAGTACCTGCATGATGACTTCATTTTCACATTGTGAGCAAAACTTTGTTCAGCATATGCTATTTATAGAACTTGAGTGTGCACCAAATTTGCTTCTAATCTAAATTGTGGTTTGGTAGATATAGAGATAGTTCGAGAACTTTTTGATCACCCCTCGTACTAGTTGATACTAACACACGGTTTTTCATATCGATCTTATGTGTTTAATTTCTTAATTTCTTTGTGTTTCATTGGTGATAATTAAAATTTTGATACATATTATAAGTTATCTGTGGCAAACTTACAAACTCTTAATTTTAAACTTTGATGGTGCTCATTTTTCCTTACCTGGAATCAAAGAGCTTATTTCAATACGTACACTTTTTAACAACTATTCGATAATAATACCAAATAAATTACTTCAAGCCACACTATAACACAGTTCTTCTTTTAAAAGTGTTTATATTTAATATTTGAAATATTTTGCAACTGTAATTATCTTCTACATTTAAAGATTGTTATGTCTCTCCATATTAAGAAGAGGTCTGGAAAACAAAATTCTGTGCTAAAAATAGACCACGTGCAGCTATCAATGAACTACTTTCAAGGTTCTTTACACTCTTTTTGAAGACAACGATACCTTGTTTTGAACTTAAAATTATCATTTAAAGGTGCAAGATTTAGACATTTTCTCAACAAATGGTTGTAGATAGAACATTAATGCACAGTTTGCGTATTTTTTTGGATTTTTTAAGGCTCTGCTGAATTCTGTAGCTGCGCAGTTCTACGGAGCATATCAAAAGCATTTTTCTGCAAAAGTATAGATTATATATGCACAACATGCATTCAGTTATGCATATTTATTGTATCTTTATCATTAGGGTTTAAAATTTGATCAAAATATAATGTACTTTAGCCATTTGAAGAAATGTTTACATTCTGTTCTCACTTCACTAAAGGTGGCCGTACATCCCCCTTAAAGCAATTTGAAAAATAGCATCAGGAACCATTTTTGGAGCAGCATCTAGAAACTTATCATTGCTAATTACCAAGAGACTTTTAAGACTCTGACTTAAATGTATCAGAAATAGTGTCTTTAAACAGAGATTTAGATTCTAGTATACAAAAAATATTCATTATGCTTGAAAACACTCATTTAAGTCTATAACCCAAGTCATTGCAGAATGGAAACATGTCCCTATGGTTCAATCATAACATCTCGGTGTGTACAAATTTGCACTAATTGATTAAAATTAATTTTCATTTAAGCATTGAATTCATATTTTGGGATGTCTTCGGTCCTATAACACACCTGGCCGTGCCGACAAATTGAATACCGCGCGTTCGCGTATTGTCTTTGAGGAAATGATACCAATATATACTTTATGACTGTTAGTATGCCCACTTATGCTTTCCTATACGAATACGTAATACTGCAGATTTTTCATTCAATGGACAATACTAATCATTGCCAAAAGAGAACAACTTCTGAAATATGTAAAAAGACTTCTAGAACCAGGATTTTGTAGTAAAAACATTCTAGACCACACAGTGAAAATAAAATTTCAACCTCATTGCACCTTAGTACACTACCAAACAAATTCCAGAAAATGTAAGATGGGTTTTAGAAGAAAAAATCGACTTGGGGCCTTCATTTAATCCCAACGGTGAAAATAAAAATTTCAAAAACTTATTGCACACCTACAGGACACCATCAATCAAATTTCAAAATATGTTTGAACACTTCAAAATAAATTGGAAAGAAATTCAGGGGAAAATTATTATGAGAAAAAGATTTTTGTGCCGACTATCAATTGCCTACAGTGACTACATCGAAGTTCATTTATCTTATGGCATACTACAGTAGGACCCCCCCCCCCCCCCCCTCCCTCAAATTTACTTTAAAAAATATGAATGGACTTCTCTGAACAATGTGAGAGGAGTTTAGGGAACAAAAGTCTATAGAACAGAAATCAAATTATCTTTATTCCTTTTTGCCCTCCAAAGTGAAAATGAAAATTCTGAACCCCCTACAAAACACTCCAGGGACGCCAATAACCATTTTTAAAAAGATAATTAAGCTTCTGCAAAAAATGTTAGATGAGTTCAGGGAACCAGGGCTGAGATTCATGAATCTTCGCAATATATTCCTAAGTTAAAAAAATCACTTAAATTATGTATTTTTTACTTAACTTTTCTAAGTACTGCTTGAAATTGGTAAAAATATTATTTAGTGTAATTTATAAACATACTTAATGCTTAAGTATTGACTTAAAAGCTAGTTGTCCCTAGAAGGCGTCTTAAGTAGATAAATTTTTATACTTATTTATGAACCAATCGTTTAATGAGGATGATGTCTTTATCTGTCTAAAAGCAAAAAAAAAAAAAAAAAAAAAAAAAAAAGGGAATTAAGAGGGAAGTATGCTTGTAATAATTTATAAATGTAATACTAGAATACTAGTAAAGTATTTTCCGTGTTTTATTTTAAAGCCGTCCTTTATTTTATTTTGCTTTATTTAGGATTGGAATGTTCTAAATGTACTCACGTGGTTATCAAGGACGTCCCTTCATTTCTCCAAAGCATTGTATTACCCAAAAGTCCTCAATGTGCCAGCACCCCTCCGGGACAAACGGCCAATGGCGTGAGTTTGGTTAAGTGCCCCAGTAATCCAACGTCAGGACAGGTGTACAAGTGTGGGACCTACACCGGCACCTGCACCATGCAAATTGACCTAATACTCATCAAACGTAAGATTGTCTGAGTGATTTTTAGATAGGTTGTTGCAGATCTAGATTTTGTAAGCTACATCGCAAATTCTCTACATTAATAATCATACTGAACATAAAGTACGAAATGATTTATTAAAAAATGAGTATTTATATTCGGTTGAATTAACCTAGCAAGATAGGCAAGCTGTTTTATGAATTCATCAACTTTCTAATTATCAATAGATTCAAGTGTCGCTGAGTTGTTAAATACAGTTAAAAACTCGAGTTGGAAAATCGATGATCGGTTAATTGATAGTACCAACGAACACACCTTATGAACCCTTTTCTCCTTTTACCCTACTAATCTCTTCGCAGTTTTCGTTTACATTATTACTGCAAATCATAATCATTTGAGGAATAAAATTAAGAGCATTCTGTCTTTTGCCTCTAGGATCTACCCCCTATAAGGTAGTGCTTTTCTCCCAGTATTACCAGTAAATGTGTAGTTTATGATGACGACAAGCACTTGTTTGTGTTTTGTTACAGCCAGTGTAAATGCTGACATAGTATACCGAGACTGTGTGCTGATGGACCCAGCAGTCCCTGCCTCATGCGCCATACAGAACAGGTAGAGTCTATAACATAACCTAGTCCTGGATTCCGGGAATATTATTTCCGGTATGGTTTTTTGTAATAGAACACATATTCGATCCCGATGCAATATACTTTTGTAAACATGATGATGTGTGGCAACTAATTCGATTTTTAATCGGAGACCTAATATTATGACATCCAAGCGAAAGTACGCTTTCACTAAGTTTGTGGTATTTAATAGTAAACATAATAAATTTCATGACCTATTAGTATCACTTCTACAGTTCTATACACAAGCATGCCAAAGTAGAACTAGTGACCTACTTTAGTACTTAGCATGTGCACGTACTGCAGAATATTAATTAAATTGATTAAGTATGTTAATCTACCGACACAGAAAGAAGGTTGTTATAAGGAACCCAGCCAATATAAAGCTAGGTAATTAGTCTCTAAATGTGAACCTGGATAAAAGGAATTAGCTAGGTCCTAGAAGTAAAATAACGTTCAACGACCAATATATGATGATATAGGTGTTCAGCATAACCTAATAAAATGTTCAACTGTGCCATAACTCACATAACTCATAAAAAAAATTCATCGGAAACTAAAATCCGATACACAGGGAAACCTAGTAATCCAGTCATGGTTCAACAGATCCCAGACACCAAACAGTGTAACCCAGCCACTGAACTACATATCCCAGTCACTATTCAACATTACACAGTCATGGTTGAACATAAACAAGTCTCTAAACTACCTAAATCCAGTAACAGTTCCACATAAATAAGTCTCTTAACAACCTAACCCAGTCACGGTTCAACATAAACAAGTCTCTAAACTACATAACCTAGTCACGGTTCAATATAAACAAGTCTCTTAACTACCTAACCCAGTCACGGTTCTACATAAACAAGTCTCTAAACTACATAACCCAGTCACGGTTCTACATAAACAAGTCTCTAAACTACATAACCCAGTCACGGTTCTACATAAACAAGTCTCTAAACTACATAACCCAGTCACGGTTCTACATAAACAAGTCGCTAAACTACATAACCCAGTCACGGCTCTACGTAAACAAGTCTCTAAACTACATAACCCAGTCACGGCTCTACATACAGAAGTCTCTAAACTACATAACCTAGTCACGGTTCAATATAAACAAGTCTCTTAACTACCTAACCCAGTCACGGTTCTACATAAACAAGTCTCTAAACTACATAACCCAGTCACGGTTCTACATAAAGAAGTCTCTAAACTACATAACCTAGTCACGGTTCTACATAAAGAAGTCTCTAAACTACATAACCTAGTCACGGTTCAATATAAACAAGTCTCTTAACTACCTAACCCAGTCACGGTTCTACATAACCAAGTCTGTAAACTACCTAACCCAGTCACGGTTCTACATAAAGAAGTCTCTAAACTACATAACCTAGTCACGGTTCTACATAAAGAAGTCTCTAAACTACATAACCTAGTCACGGTTCAATATAAACAAGTCTCTTAACTACCTAACCCAGTCACGGTTCTACATAAACAGGTCTCTAAACTACATAACCCAGTCACGGTTCTACATAAACAAGTCTCTAAACTACATAACCCAGTCACGGTTCTACATAAACAAGTCTCTAAACTACATAACCCAGTCACGGCTCTACATAAACAAGTCTCTAAACTACATAACCCAGTCACGGTTCTACATAAACAAGTCTCTAAACTATATAACCCAGTCACGGTTCTACATAAACAAGTCTCTAAACTACATAACCCAGTCACGGTTCTACATAAACAAGTCTCTAAACTACATAACCCAGTCACGGTTCTACATAAACAAGTCTCTAAACTACATAACCCAGTCACGGCTCTACATAAAGAAGTCTCTAAACTACATAACCCAGTCACGGTTCTACATAAACAAGTCTCTAAACTACATAAACCAGTCACGGTTCTACATAAAGAAGTCTCTAAACTACATAACCCAGTCACGGTTCTACATAAACAAGTCTCTAAACTACATAACCCAGTCACGGTTCTACATAAAGAAGTTTCTAAACTACATAACCTAGTCACGGCTCAATATAAACAAGTCTCATAACTACCTAACCAGTCACGGTTCAACATAACCAAGTCTGTAAACTACCTACATGTAACCTAGTCACTGTTCAACATAACCAAGTCTCTTAACTACCCAACCCAGTCACGGTTCAACATAACCAAGTCTCTAAACTACCTAACCTAGTCACGGTTCAACATAACCAAGTCTCTTAACTACCTAACCTAGTCACGGTTCAACATAACCAAGTCTATAAACTACCTAACCCAGTCACGGTTCAACATGACCAAGTCACTTAACAACCTAACCCAGTCACAGTTCAACATCACCAAGTCTGTAAACTACCTAGCCCAGTCATGGTTCAACATAACCAAGTCTCTTAACTACCTTACCCAGTCACGGTTCAACCTAACCAAGTCTATAAACTACCTAACCCAGTCACGGTTCAACATAACCAAGTTTCTAAACTACCTAACCCAGTCATGGTTCAAGTGGTATCCAAGGTCCAGTCTGTTACATTCCTTCTTTCTTAAATTTTAAAGGTCTTCACCCTTGACATAACCCAAGTTCTTTGTAGCCTCTGGCAGGAATTTCACCTGCAAGTCCAGGAGTGGTCAACGACACCATATCTGTAAAGTAGAGAAGAAAATGCAGCGGACTAGACCGAGATTCGAACCCAGGCCTCCTGAAAAACTGGTTAGGTGCTCTACCAACTGAAGTATCTGGCCACCGAAGATCGAACCTGGCTGACCGCCACATTCCTCCCTACTTTAAAGTCTTTTACTCTCCAAGGACCCAAACCCAGGCTCATCCTAGCAGGTCTTTCACATGTCAATTCCAGGGCATGGCTCCAAATGTAAAGGTAGAGGAGAAAATGCTGCGGACCAGACCGGGATTCAACCCGGGCCCCCTGAAACTCGTTAGGTGCTCTACCAACTGAGCAATCTGGCCATGGGTTATCGAGTCTGGCTGACCGCCACAGTTACATGCAATTAAAAAATTAAAAAGCTTAATTTGCGAGCATTGTTACTAAACTAAACCAAAATACTTGTATTCAATCTAATCATACCGCTGTATCATTTCGGATTTACCAGTATCTGCAGCAATTGGGTCCAGTCAATGAGAGTCATCAAGATAACCAGAAATATGTCCTTAGGACATGAATGCTCTACTGAGGGTATACTAGTAATGCAAAGTTAAAACATAGGTAATCAAAGATTACGAAGCTAACCTCGAGGAATGTTATTGGTTTAAGTAATGCAAATCTTACATCATATTTTCTTAACACTTTGTAATTAATCTGACAACAATATTCAAGCATGTTCTGCTTAAATAAGTCTAGAAGTTCATTAGAGAATGATCGTGCTCCAAAAACTTTAACCTGATCACTCATGTGGAAAATGTAGGTCAGATCCAGCATCCAAAGCAAGTCTGATAGTGTCCATCTCTAGATGCATCATCCATGCAAGTTTGGTCCAGGAAGGCCTAATAGTTACTTGGGAATGGACTTGCTCCTAAAACTTTAACATGGGACACCGACGCTAACGCCGAAGCCGGGGCTATAGCATAAGCTCATCTCGACTTCGTTTTCATCGTTTAATAACATCAAGTACTCATATACCAATATGTAAACTATGGTTCAAATAAGAATTACAAGTAAAGCAATCTGGAGTGCATTTAATTTGACTGAACTCAAAATTTACAGGGTTTATGAGTTTATCTACATTAACCAGACACACTGGATCAGCTCTGATAGAGTCCATTTGTATGTCATAACAATTAAATTTCATCAGATACTGATCAAACAAGAAATCTGTGAGCCAATGCTCACTAGTAATACCCCCGCTCTGTTGTAAATAAGCACTATCATGTTAATATACACTTACAGACAGATCCACAGAAAAATATGAAGTTGACATCAGATTCATATCAAAATTAATTCCACCATATGGCATGCCTAAACAAAGAGTGTAGTACAATTTCAAACATCTGCTATATATAGTTAATGAGAAAATTTGTTATGTATGAAACCGATGGATGCACAGACAAACAGGAAGTTGACATCGAATTTGAATAAAAATGTATCCCACTATATGGCATGCCTCAGAGAAGATTGTGTTAACATTTCAAGCATCCAAGAAGAGGAATTGCTGAGAAAACTGCGACTAAAAATTTGTTACCAACAGACACACAGACAGGCACACAAGGGTAAAACAGTATACCCCCCTCTCCTTCGGAGCAGAGGTATAAATATACCTGTAAACCATATAGCAATAGCAAACTTGTAAAATATATAATTTATACAGTTACTGATGAAGAGCAAAACAAATTTGTTAACTCAGTCAATCAAAACATAAAACTGCTATTTCACTGGGTATAGAAGTTCTTCGGCTTTTCTATATGTGATGTTCTTGACAATGGAATTGGAAGCTGCAGTAATGATTCTTGCCTAAACAAGCAACACATCTTTAAAATATCAAACTTCTTCATTAAAACTCTGTCCTGTCCTAAAAGAGAATGAAAATAAATAAGGGTAAGAATGAAATTCTTTTGAATATTAGTCATTTTAATAGCACTTCAGATGTGACTAATTAAATTATGGATATAAAGACTGGTCTCCACATATGGTTTACCTTAAATGTTAATAAGTTGATTGGTTATCAAAGAATCACAAATTCACTTTACAATATGCATATCTATTTTCTTTACGGTAATTTATTCTGAAAAAATAAAATTTATCATACCCATCTTCCAGTGATGTCAAAACCTTTCCATTTTGGCAGTTTTTCAAACTATAAAGGTAACATCCTGGAGAACTGAATATACCCCTAAAATCAGTGAAAAAACAAAAAAAAGCTCATTGAAGAATGCTTAACATGATAAGTCAATGGAATAGGTTTTGTGTGTTGAAAAGGGGAAGTGGAATTAGATTGTGTGCTTTTTTTAATGTATGCAATATACAGTGAATCACTGGGGGAGTTACCAAAGATCCAGATC